TCAAGCTCAGTTATTAAGTCCTGTGCAATGAAACCTCCTCTATATCATAGTCCTGTCTTGTAGCAGTCTCTGTTTGTATTTGTCCCCCATCCACTCCCTCAAACATGTATGATTTGGTGAGCAGAGCTAGCAGAGGAAGGGCCTGCAAGGGATACCACGCTGTTTAAATTGTGGAGCCGCATTTGAATAAATACTTTGCAACTGGAAGACAGGCATAAATTAATTGTTATTTGAATGACAAACTTACTTTCCTTTTTCTAAAAGGTGTAATTCTTTACGTTTGACTTACAAGATTACTTTCTCTAAATCACATGTCAGGCATCGCAGTAACTCATCTCTCAGCCTAGCATGGCCAAGCCAGATGAACACACATTTTACATTCATTGCCATATATTTAAATTGCATATGTCATCTTGTCTTCCTTGGTCTGAAATGAAAGCCTGGAAAGAGCTGCATGTGGACTGGAATGACCAAACGTTCACAGGAGACATCTGTGGATGGTGGGGAGGAAAGGAGGGGAAAATCCCTTAATTTGAGTGCATACTTTGGCATTTATGGCTGGTGGATGAAAAGGAGCAGGAAGGGTCTGCAGTTGTGCTATCCCCACAGAAGACCTCAGCTCATTAGCGTTTTCATCAGGTGGTTGTCTTTAAAGTCATTTTTAGCGAGGGCTGCTTATCAGCACATTTTACAATGTGACATTTGTCTTCGGAAAATACCACGTCCCCAGCAAGAGCCCATACCCAGGGAGCCCAGGCAAGGAGATGCTGCTGACTGACGTCAACGCACGTCAAAGAGGAAAGTATTTTGGGCTTTGCTTATGAAGTGGAAGCCAGACCGTGCTCGTGTTGCAACACTGATATCCCTTTGGCGCAGGGACCCCCTGGGACCACGGGGTGGACTTTAAGCACTGTGCATATTTGCTGTTCAATGCCGATATCACCATGGCAGAGGTATGTGATGGGTTTTGTAGAGTGGCACAAGTGTCCTGCAGAAGGGGCTGTTTTATTGGCATATGTTGAAAGCAGCTCAAGATGGCTCTGAGATTTCTCCTTTGCTGAGCTGTGGCTGGGGAACACGGAAGGGAGATGATGCTTTGCCTTTGCTTTGCAATGGGACCTGCGAGCCCACCAGCCCAGCAGCAGCTTGGTGGGATGCAGGGGAGCCTGCATGGGCACTGCCCTGGGAGCCCCTCGTCCTCCAGCTCGATGGAGTCTGCAAAGGCATCTCTCTGCCATATTAAGGCCTGGCTGCTTGGCCCAGGCTGCAGGGAGGGGTGCCAGCTGCCTTTTCCAGCTTTTCTGGCATTTCAGGAATGTCCATCCCTCACTGAAGCTACATTTCAAAGTCTTTAACCCTTTGTTTGGCTGCATCCTGCATGTGTGAATGCGTGCCAGCCCGGCTCCCGGCGTGTGGGCAGATGGGGCACAGCCAAGGGGGAGCTGGTGTCCCCCTCACACCCGAGCGCACCGGGAGGTCTCAGCTCGGCAGTGCAGAGGTAGCGTGTCCTGAAGCACCCAGGGCATGCAGGAGCTTGTCTCTGGCTCTTTGGATGTAGCGTGTCCCCGTGCATCTGCTTCTTTGTGATTCATGCTTGAAGATGTGCAGCTTGCAGTGCCCACTGCCTTGCTGTTTCAAATGACTTGTGTAATGATGCAAATGGTTCATTTTGGGCCTAGTACGTACCCTTGTACCTGGCCAGGCGGGAAGCACCAGGCGGTGGCACTCTGCTTCTCCAGCTTCACTGTTTTAGGGAGAGATCCCTCTGTAAATGCTTTCAGGTTTGCTTCCTTCTCTGGTAGACTTGTCCCCCTGGGGAGGGTGTTCTGAGGTCCTCGCCACCCCAGCAGAGCCTTCTGGAGAGCAATTTCAGTCTTTGGACACGTAGTTAGGGTGTACTGCTACCGAAGTCCTGTGTTCCTCCCTCCTGTACGACATTGTGTAGGCTACAGAAATCCTCTCCGGCAGTCGTTGCATGGATTTCAGAAGGGGGTTCGCCCACTCAAACCCAAGCTATTGAGTTTCTTTGTGTAAAACTGTTTAGGAGAGAGATTGTATTCATTTAGGTATGCACCAAATGGGCTTGGTTCTGCTCTTGCTAAAACCTGTGGGAGATGTATCCTGCTAGTTAAATCTCTTAAACCACAGGAGACTTTTCAGCAATGTACTTTAAAGTTCCATCAGTGTTTTAAATTAAATTTACAGTGACACCAAAAATGGTAATTTTTTTTGCATCTAAAAAGTCACGCGTCTTCTGGATGTGTGTGTTCAGTCACCAGATGTGTTTGTCGGGTTGGCACGGTGGCATTAAGTGACTGTGACAAATAAGCAGCAGGTTTAATGGTTTCCTGCTCCCAATGCCTTATTCTCCTGCAAAAAGTTAAGCCCAAGCATTTGCAGAGCAGGGCAGGTCTGTGCTTGCGGCAGCAGCATCTTCCCACGAGATGGTGCTCGGAGCATGCGGTCCCGCCGGCCAGCTGTGCCAGGGAGCCAGACCTTCTCCTGGGCATGGGCTGCTGCAGGCTGGGATCCAGCCTGGCGCTCTCTGGCCCTGCTTCTCCCAGTCACTTAGCTTGCAGCCTACAACAAGCCTCTAATTGCATGCGTAAGTGCTTTTCTGAACTGGGAGCTATTGTGTGTCAGGTATAGCTGTGTTTTGTACTTCCCAAGATAATGCTTCTATTAAAAAAAAAAAAAAGTGTGTTTTGCAAAATGTTGAGTCCTAACTGGAGGTACCAGCGTGGGGAAAGGTGTCTGGGTGGAGAACAGAGCCGCTGGAGTCGGTACGGTACGCCTGACCAGCAGCATGCTGCAGCTGAAGTGCTGCGTGGTGGGGCAACTGTGCGGGCAGCTGCCCCAGTGCTGAGGAGCTGGTGGGGCTTGGGAGACTGAGGCTGATGTCTCTGCTTTGCAGTGACGCTTCTCCTGTACCTGGACAAGCTGTTTATGTCTGGAAACAGGAATATACACAAGCGTGTGCTCCTCTGTTAGAGGCACAAACACCTCCTTTCTCCCATCCTTCTTCGTCTGTCATTTCTTTCAGTGAAGCATCTTGCGGGGTTGTCAGCCCTCAGCTGAGCTGTGTATGGGGTGTGCCCAGCGCTGGGGATGCAGAGCGCTCTCGTACATATTACTCCTGCTCCAAAAAAGCTTTGGAGTGGAAATCAGCCTCAGTCCTGTATTTTAAATGATGCAAATATTTCAGGTCAGGGGCAGATTCAAATTCCTGCTGCACCAGTATAAATCTGGGGTTGCCTTTGCACCCCCACATGTCTGAGTTGGTCTCATTCCTAATTTAGAGTTTCAGGGGGGCCAACCCTCTGGGTATCCCCGAAACCCTCAGTGTGTCCCAACAGTTGTTGTAGCTGAATGTCCCCGTGCCTCTTGCTTTCCCCCCAGCAAAGCATCCCCCCTGAGCTGGCTCCACCATCCCTCCCATCTCCCTCCCCTGCTTTAAATCCCTGTTGAAGTCCCACTTCCTCCCCAAAGCCTCTGTGAAAGGGGCTGACTGTCATCGCCCCAGCTCGCCCGGCAGCGTGGGGATGAAGGATTAGTGGGCAGGGGAGCAGGGAGCTGGCAGATGGGGAGGCAGTCACTGGGGCTGGTGCTGGGAGCTGGGTAAGGACATGATGTGTAGGAGATGAATCACAGAAAGTAATATTCATTGTGTTTACCCACGGCACTGGAAAAACAGATGTACAGTAAAGCAGACTGATGTTTGGTGTTATCTCTGCCATCTTGCTTTCGTAGGCTGTGCCGGTGCTTGGCAATGTGTGCTTGGGCTGTCAGCTCTTGGAGACGAGGGACTTGTTTTGTGCTTGTAGAGTACTGCAGCCCGTCATTGGGGCCGCGATGGATACCAACAACCCACAGCTCGAGAAGGCACCAGTGTGCTCTGTGCCGCTGCTGTGGCTGCCAGCAGTCAGTGGTGGCAGCTGCTTGCTCTGGTCCTGAAGCTGAGTTTGAGGTTGTGCGGATGTGCTTGTCTTCCATCCTGAGCATCATGACCCAGGTACTGAGTGTAGGAATGTGTTCCTCCAAAGGCAAGCATGCAGCGATCCCTCTGTCCCTCTTCTCACTTTTATCGCTCTGATAAACTTTGCTATTCCATCAATTTTGCAGCAGCGAATTTATATTTCTTTCCTAATCGCTGATGAAAAAGCTGAGCACAGGCTTGGCCGCCCTCCTCTGCAGAGCTGCCCTGGCAGCTCAGGGAGGGTCCCTGTGGAGAATTGCATCTGGAGATCTCTCTGCCAGCTCTTAATCTGCTTTACTGACTTGCATGGTACCCATGTAAATTGAGATACCATGCGGTGCAGAGCTCAGCACCGTACCAAAGTCAAGGTATGTTCCGCCTAAGCAGTTACTTTGATCCCCAAGGCTGGATCTCATCAAAGACTGAAATCAGGATTGTTTGACAACACCTATTTTCCATTAGCAAGGTTGACAGCATTAATTATATTCTGATGCTTTAATTCTTTATTATTGAAATCACACATCAGTGATAGTCATTATTTTGCAAGGGGGTTGATGTTATGCTAATCAGCTTGCAGTTAACTGGGTCATCCCACTCATTTTTTTTGGCTGTGGGCACAACACTACTGCTCTTGTACTGGAGTCTCTGTGGTCTGCCAAGATTTATTTTAAACAAACATGAGCAAGCCAGAATTTCTGAGCCAGCTTTTTTAGGGCTCTTGGGTGCAAGTTATGTGAAAATATTTATCCCTGTTGTATACTGTTTAACATCTTCCTTGGTTACTAATGGACTGGAAAGGACTTCATTGTCCTCAAGTGATACAAGTACATCATCTTGCTGCTTTGCAAAGGCAGAGCAGAAATATTTATGGGAATAATCTGCCTTTTCTTTGTCATTATTAACTGTTTTGCGCTCTCTGTTTTGGAAGGGGCTGGTGCTTATCTTGGGAGTTCTTACTGAACTTTAAAGATCTCCTCTATATTAGCCCGTCACATCATGATCTCCTCTGTTCTCACTTCCACAGGTACAGTCCCCAAATCACAAGGAACGGAGCAAAAGCTCAGCCTGGCAACCACGAAGTGAAGATGAAAGGTCCCGAGCCAGTGATCAGCCAGATTATTGACAAGCTGAAACACATCAACCAGGTTTGTTGCAGGCGTGCCAGCAGGGATGGCTCCAGAGTGGGCGGTTTCCAAATCAGTCTGGCCTCCCACTCACTTTCTTCAGGCTCAGCCAGACAACCCGGGGCATCTCCATCTTCCGCAGCTGCGTGTGGAGCCAGTGCCGCCTCGGCCCTGCGCAGTACCAGGCTCGCAGGGCACATGTGGCAGGTCCTGATTCATGCACGCTGGCGCGGTGCTCTGCGGGTGCAGCAGGAGCTGCCAGGCACGGGCGTTACAGCCCTCTGGGGCTCAGCCTGCGCCCAGGAGGATGCATGGATGGCATCCATCCCCCACGTGATGGAGGACCAAGAAAGATGGAGCTGATGTGGTGCCTCCGAGGACGAGGTGCTGGCAGGGTCTATGTGGCATGTGCCTGATGTCCCCTCTGGTCAGAGGAGTCCCCTTTGGCATTGCTCATGGCTGGCAGAGACGGTCACTTGTTTCTTTGCTGTGTCTCCCTGGGCATCCACTCCCAGTTACTACTGGGGCAAGTTACCATTGAATGGGGAAATGGCAGAGCTGGATGAGACCCTTTCTGCTGGGGAGGGAGCTTCCTTCCCACAGTCTCAGACCTGGCATCCTTGCAAGGACAAGCAGTATCTTGTCTCTACCCGTCATGCCAGGCCAGGTTAGGTCTGTGAACAAGCCCCACCGCTGCCAAGGGATTAGGTGGCACCTCTGCATGGTGTTTGGCTTGTGATTGTTAACCTCCCAGAGCTCTTCTGCAGCGTTGCCTCGGGCCAGCCGGGCTGGGGTCCGACTCTGGACTCTGCTCTGCTCTCTGTGTCACTGAGTAATTCGCAGAAGGGATGTTTTTCAGTAGGCTGATAGCTTGGACCTCTGTACTTTCTAGGGACACATGGCGTTGGGACCTTGCAGGGCAAATACTTGGGAGGTAATGCTGTCTGTTAATACAGCTGAGCTGCCCAGTCTCTCCCGACAGAGCTCTTACCAGTGGGGACCTTGTTCAGGGTTGCTCCGGCGTGAGGCTTTGGGCAGCGACGTGTTCCTGGGGTTAAGCCCAGCTTTGCTTCCCAGCCGGGTGGGCTGCAAGGACTGGTCTGTCTGGAGTTGCTGGCTTAGCGACTTTTCTGCTAACCTCTGCTTTCCTGCTCCAGTGACTGCCAGGGACTGTTTTCATAGCAGTTCCCGGTTTAACCCCTGCACCTTCGGATGCAGGCACGCCTCATTAGCCGCTGTCTGGGAGCGGGATGCAGCGAGGGATTCAGGGCTCCCGGGAGCACCCCGGCACGCGCGAGTCAACGTGGGCAGTGGCAGCGCAGCCCGCTCTGCCTTCCCGCATGCCTCCTTGCGCCGAGCCATGCCATCTGCCAACAGCCCATAATTATTAAAAGGGGGGTGAAAAAAATAGCATAATCAGCTCCCTATTAAATGGGGTAGAGGGCAGGCTTCAACCTGCAGGTGATAATGATATTTTGCCGTTCACAGTGAGAAAGTCGCACCGAACAAAACATGGTTATTAGCGTACTTGAAACTGCTGACATAAAGTGGTTGTGAAATGCTGGCTGCCAGATTGGGTCAAGTTAGGTCTTTGCTGAACAGTTCAGGCTGCTGAGGAGCGGAGATTTGTGGAACGAGAGACCCTGGGTAAACATCGCCGGGCTGAACTCAGCTGTTTGCAGCAGCAGAGTGTCTTTGTCAGCTGCTGCTCTGAGAAAAATAGTGGTAAGGGGGTGAATATGGTCAGCTCAGTCACGATCTCTTACAGCGCTTCCCCTCCTTGGCTGGCGATATCAGATTGGAACATGTTACGGGGGACAGGTGAGTTGTTTTGGTTTAAATGGTGTAAACATAAGAGTCTGAAAAATATCGACCCCTCTTGTAAAGTTGTGTTTGAGAAAGAGGTGGATTGAGAATAAAATCAGGAGAAAATGGGAAGTGATTTGTGAAAATTAGTTGTCAACCCAGCTATTCCTACAGAGGGTCTTTCACCTATGGTAAGTAGCTTATATACCGGGAAAGTAACTGCGGAGGTCACTTAAATTTGGGATTTGGGGTGTCATAGCTCACCATCACACTTATTTTCTTGGTCTACCGAAGTTTTGCGCTTTCCTTCACATCTGGAATGCATCTTGGACGCCAAAGAGTAGGAAATGTGGAGGGAACAGCTCTGGATGAATTACAGTTGTGTTTTTCAGGTGTTGGCTTCAGATCTGGGAAGCGGTGGGGACTCCCGGGCTGGGGAGGGGTGAAAATCTCCTGATCCACCAAGCTCAAGCCAACAGCAGCTTTTAAGGGTTTTCAAACATCCTGAATCTTTTGGAGAAAAAAGCATCTTTTCAAGCATTTGTAGTGCTCAGAACTGGATTCCCCATGTGACTACCAGTAAACTGTGAATGTAGTACCATATAATGAATTCCTCCCCGTGTGTTGTGTTGGAGATGCAGCTTGGATTTTGTGGATGTGCGTAGATGCAGGAGCCGTGCTAGTTAGTGCAATTTTTGTTAAGAGTTCCACAGCTTTTACATGTAGATTTTTGCTAATGTCTGTCATTTGCTGATGACTTGGCTTCGATTTATTCCAGGCTGCTCACGCTGCTGAAAAATGTGTGTTCTTTCAGCAGTACGCCACATTTTCGAGCTTGCTTGAGTTTGGCAAATGTGTTGTGTGCAGAAATCACGCTCGTTCATTAGTTCGTGTCTTCTCAAACTGAATCTGGGTAAGCGCGCACATATATATGAGAAAGTCTCATGAAGCTTTTGCGGTTTGAAATGAGAACGGTGTTTGTGCATTAGAACAAAATCCATGGGGACTGAAAAGAGTATAGAAAACTTAGAAGGGGAAGTAAAAGTTTGCCAGATTGTATTCGTTTGGTTCAAGCATCTTTTAGCAAGCTAAAACATATAAACGAATAAAGCTCACTGCCTGAGTAGTGTGCTGTCTCAAGTCAGTCCTTTCTGGATGAGTCCCCCTCGGTGGTGCCTGCTCGTCACATCAAGACTCCAGACCATTTTTGTTTCACCCGAATGTGTGATTGTGGGTGGTGCGATTTTTCATGTGTTGGTGGGCGAGATGGTTTATTATTGCCGTATTGGAAGTAAGGATTTTTTTTTTTTTTTCAGTTCTGTTAGATGTCTACCAAGTTTTGATTTGAGTTATTTTTGCTGTGTGCCCAGAGGCATGAACAGCCCATCCATAAATATTAGCATTGTTATCTCAGCTGGGAGGCCAAGGGTCACCTTCAAGAAAATGAGTTGGAATTGGTTCCTAACTTTTATTTCCCAGAGTAGATGGGGTCTGTTTCTAGCTAGGTTTTTCACTCATCCCACACGTGAAACTATAGTGAAATTGAAAGGTTATTCTGTGTCAGCACGAGGTGTTGCTCCATTTTTTTGTGACTTGGTAGCATCCCTAGGCAGAAAGTGGTGAGCAAGGTGAGCTATTTCCTCTGCTCACTCCATTTTCCTCCCACCACAGGGACGTGTAGGTGGCTGACAGATGGGGATGAGGTTCAAGTTTTAACAGATACGCATGGAGGTGGGAGCCGTGGTGTCCCATGTCCCAGGCGCTCTGCCACGCTGGTGACCTGCTATTGAACCTCCTCCCAAGAAAGGCTCTGGAGAGCGGACCTGAGTGATGCTGGCGTGAGGATGTAGCAGGGATGGAGACCGCGGGTACCAGATCAGCCAATGTGACACTCTTGGTCCTCCCTCCTGTCCCTCTCTGTCCCCAGCTGTGTGCTCTCTGCAGTGCTTACGGGGCTCTGACACCGTTAAGTGGATGCTTTACCCCATCCTTACTGCACTTACCTGTTTAAGCTTGTGCCCATTTCTGATCCCTTTTTATGCTTAGATAAATCCTGGTGCTTATCATAGGACCATCTCTAGGAGAAAGAAAAAAAACCCACAAAAATGCAGAATAAAATCCATAAAAGGAAACTTAACTGGGGGAGATGTGTCTTTACAAGACTGAAGGGCCTGGAAACATATTGTACATTTCCAGGCACTGGAGTTAAGGGCTCATTTAGAATATTTCAGATATACTGGAGTTTGACAGTTCTTTGGTTTCCACATCAAACAATCTGTAATTTATTGCCCCGTATAGGGACTGTGTTTTTATCATATTGCATATTCTCTAGCCAGAAATCTAACTACCATATAAGCTCTTGAAAAAAAAACCCTTTGGGAATCGGAATCCAGGCAATATGCTTTCACAGACCCTGAGAAACCCGCTTTGATTTATTTCCTTGGAAATAAGGGGAACATACAATTTCTTGGAGTATTACAGCTGTTCCCCCCAAGCAGGATCTCGCTGCCTTTCTTCACGTGCTCGGTGTAAAGACCCGGGTCCTGCAGCAAGCCCCGTGTGAAAGCGCCTTGCGTTGCTCTTCATGGGGTTTACAGGGGGATGAGAACAAAATTTAGAAGTTTTACAAGGCAGTAAAACACGGAGCTCTAGCTGGAAAGAAAAAGGAAAAAAAGGAGGCCCAGAGGTGCGAATGACCAAAGACAAAATAGACTTCAAGTTTGCAAAAAAGCATGCCCCGGTGTTTAAATAGCCGCGTTTGAAGCTGGGTTGATCAACCAATATGTCCTATATTTGTTTGTAGGTTTAATGGGCTGTTTCCCTGTGGCCTGGCTGCCGGGAGAGAGCACGGCAGAGGTCACCCAGAAGTTAATTTGGAAAGAGGCCAAAAGGCCACAACTTGATTGAATCAAATGTAAACAAAATAGGCCTGGGAACAGCGCAATGCCCTTGTGCCTGAGTCTCTCAAACTCTTTGCTCAAAATATGAAGTATGGCAGAGCATCGGGGACCGGCAAAGGGGGTTTAACCCCACCACGGGGGACTGATGCTTGGGGTAGCAAAGGGTCGGATCCGGACCCAGACCCAGCTTGGGGCACACGGGGAACCTGCACGTGGGCTGTCCGGATGGTGTGATGATTGCTGTCCATGCATGGGGCAGCTCGGGGCGGCCGCGGGTGCTCCCAGGGAGATGTGGGGTCCTGGGAGGCTGCCTTG